CATGACACAATATGACCACTATTCATTAAAACTATTCATGGCATCATCTCTGAAAATATCCCCACTTTACATTAGTTTCTAAGCTATAGCTTTTTCTCCTTTCTCAGTGTTGCCAAGTCGCAGCAGGAGGACATATCCTTGCAGTCATAGCCCACCAATTCCTAGGTTTGCTGTGGGGACAAACGCCTGACAATAAACCTCCACAACTACTGGGCTAAAAATACCCATTTGATTTCTGAAACTCAGACTACTAAAGCCTCATAAAAAGTACTTCACCAATTCAGCATTGCACTTCTGTAACACAAATTAGTAGCAGAGTTATTTGTTTATTTAGATTTCACACACTTCTTTCTTGCCAAAACCAGGCACCCACACTAGAAACAATGCAACCTGACATTCAGTAGGTGTTTTAGGTGGTCTACAGAGGTCTGGTAAGGTCACTTCGATACAAATGGTAAATGGTCTTATACCTGTATAGCACCTTTCTATGCTTTTACAGTACACTCAAAGCGCTTTCCAAGCCTTACATAGCACAAACACTAAAAGCCCCAAAAATCGACTAAACAAATGACTGTTTTGGACATATTAATGAACTCACTTGACATCTTCTCCATAGTGGATCTGCATGTCGTCTGTCAGAAGTGAACACGAACCGCTAATCCTCCGGTTAGGAAACGACCCGCTCTACCTCCTGAGCCACAGCCGCCCCCAGCTCCACACCCCTGGATTAAATTCATTGTCAAAAATCAGCTCCCTGTGCTGACACAGAAGACTTTATCCAACTTAGTTCATATGTCCACCTGTGTTCCCCAACACCTGGAAACAGATTTTTATGTGTAAAATCAGCGGAGTTGCCCTTTAACCTTGGCTGAAATGTTCAAAGCAACAATTCACGGCCAGTATGGACAGAAGCAACCAATAACTGAACATCCATATGGCGTGTGACTACTGAATCAAAACAGACTTTACAAAATCACCTATCCTTTTATGCTCATTAATTCAGCTCCTCATTCCAAGCCTTACATAGCACAAACACTAAAAGCCCCAAAAATCGACTAAACAAATGACTGTTTTGGACATATTAATGAACTCACTTGACATCTTCTCCATAGTGGATCTGCATGTCGTCTGTCAGAAGTGAACAGGAATAGCCGATGTTTTCTGCCGTTTCTGGGGAAAACATTAAAAACATGGTTTGTTTTGTTTAATCTCATTTCTAAAAAGGAACGATTGATTCCTGAATCCTTAAGTATTTAAACACTGTCGTCATCCCCCACTGAGACATGTCTGTCTGTTGGTACTGCACATTATTCTAGATCAACTCGTGTCTGTAGTCTGATGTGACGGTACCTTTCTTATCTCCAGTCAGTACCCAGATCTTGATGTTGGCGTTGGCCAGTTTGGCGATGGTCTCTGGCACTCCATCCTGCAGTTTGTCCTCGATGGCTGTCGCCCCAATCAGCTAAGCACAAGGACACTACTGGTTATATGGCTGAGGTTTATGGTTTCTAAAGTTTTTTCAAAGACACCCAGATAATAGTGACAAGCAGAGAGCACCTCAACATGTTTTCCAGCTGAAATTTTAAAGAGTTGTGGCTGCTACCAAAGGACAATGTACATTTCAACTGTGCTGAACAGACAAAACAGCAAAGAGCTTCCAACTCTGCCAAAGCTGAGCCACAGCTCCTATAATGTCAGTTGGTGAAAGAATGGAAAACAAAATAGTCCCCACAATTAAAATAACCCAAGAAAATTCACACTTTTTCCCCAAATAAAAACCAAAAATAAAACCCAAGTATGAAAAACATGATTTTTTCAATTTATACACGACCTAATATATATATACTGTATCTCTACCCTTTCCTTTTATCCTCCTGAATCCTGTTTCCCAGTTACCTGATTGAAACTAAACATTTTGTTAAGCAAAGTTAATTCTTGATGTTTTTCATCAAACTAAAGTGTAGCTGTTTTCCACTCACCATGAGGTCTTTCTCGATTTGCTCGTACACCTGGTCAAGAGCAGCGTCTCGGTTGGCCATGACCACCTGGGCCTCTTTGTGTTTCCTAGACCAGGCGTTATATTCTTCCGCGCTGATGTCTTTGTAACACAAGCACAGTGTCCTCAAGGTCTCGTTGGCAAAGATCTGCAACAGAAAACAGTTGTGTTTCCTTCTACAGACTGAAAAGAAAACAGGTAATGCACTTGTGTGTATGTTTCTTCACATCTGCCTCCCAAGATGCGCTCTGTGTGGCGATTACACTGGTGCATTTGAAAATGAAGCCATGTGAACTCACATCCAGAGCAGACTGAGTAGTTTCCTTGTGTTTGCTGCTGGGGGAGAGTCGCTCATAGATGACGGTGTCTGCTCCTTTACAATAGAGACGAATACGACCATCGGGAAACTTTACTGAAACGCAGAGAAGACACAGCAGGGGGGTTGAGGATCAGAAGTGGGACAAAATCTGGGTCTTGCAAGTCACAAGTCTTAGCTATAAAGACCTAAATCAAGAGCAACAAGTCAAAATTAAAGCCCAAGTTCTAAATTTTAAGTGCTAAACAAGCCATTATTCATCTGTACCTTTCCCACCCATTTTTAAAAGCTCATTCAAAGCAAAAAGGATAATATTTTTATTGTGAACAACTCTCACAACAGCTCATAGGCAATACTCTCAATACTTGTGGACTTCCTTATCCTGTCTGTGACACTCAGACATAGACCCATTGACCTGCACTCAAACAGAAGGAAAAAGTGCATTTGTTTGAGACTATTTTTTGCAGCAGGTTAAGCCACTTTTGATGATCGAGGTTCCAGTATCTTGGGCAGCAGGATGGAGCACATGTGACTGACTCAGACTACTGTGTGTGCATACGTGTGACAGTGTGGCTCTCTGGTGTTTGTAATAGTTTCTGGACAACCGTAGCTCAGAGGATGCAGACATATCAGGCTTTGGATGCACACAGGATACTTGTTAGGATGAAACCTTAATTAGTTTTAGTCTTGTGGCAGAAGAACAAGAAAATCCTCTTAAAGTCCCAAACTTCTGAGTTAATTTGTTCCAAAGTACGTTTTAAATATCGTGGTTTTTCTATTTTTCTACAATGTTCTATGCAAGTCACAGTCAAGCTACTACTACAGAGGAATACAGCATTTTGTGTGTGCGTGTACTCTTACAGATGATGGACATCCGCTTGCGGTCAGAGTTGAAGTCGAGCAGCGCTAACATTTCGTATGTTGCCTCCTGATCCATCTCCCAGATGGTGATGGTGTCCTGCGTACGAGACAGGAACACGTAACCAAAGTTTCTGGCTGCCGTCACCAGGGCACCTTCATCAGGAGACGCCGCCTGGTACACCAGATCACCTAAGAGACAGATATTAAACCACAGATGATGGGGTCATGTCCTGTGCCATTTCCTTCACAGAATTAAGTTGATTGATTCACAGACAATCATTAAAAGCACTGCAGGTTTAAGGAGTAGCTCTCTTTAGGGTATGCTAGGCTTGACTGTTGAGTGCCACAGCCTATCACAGTCAGTCGTGGTGGTTGAGTGACTTTAGGATTACCTTCTTTGTGCTCCACCATGACAGTGTGGCAGAGTGAGAGCAGTTTGAAGAACTCTGTAGCATCTTTGTTCGTCTTAGATCGCACACAGTCAACCAGCGACTGATCCACAAACTGGAACTTTTTGTCTGCGTAGCGGTTCCAGCTCCAGTCCACCAGCTGACAGGAAACAGGAAAATGGTTTTGATAAAAGGAGGGAGCAAAGGAATGTCGTTTATGTATTTAAGAACTTTTATCCTTTGGTAATCATATCTCATATAAGTGTTTTATCACTTTTGGTTATTTTAAATTGTTTCTGTTTTGCTGAACCTCAATTACTTTCTCCATAATTTTTTTTTTATCTTTGTCCACATTTCATGTGCTGCTGCTATTTTGGCCATGATAGCCCTGTAGTAAAAGATTTTTTATCTTAGTCTGGTAGTTTTCTGGCTATACAGTTACTATGCTTGTATACTGTGTAAAAAAAAACACGTACTGTACATGTTAATATTTCACAAACAAAATCAAACAGGCAACACGTGGCTGATGTGGTATTTTGTTATGGACTACAAATACTGGTTCATCCATCTTCTGCTTCACTATTGTGCATTTCATATTTTCAGTTAACATTTGGTCACATCTCATGTCAGTCACCTTAATTTGGAACTCATTACTTAAGTGAATGTATTGATATTTTACCTTTCGTCTTTGTGTTGACCCTCCCTCAGCAGTGGTTGGGCCACCTGTGGAGAGGAGAGCAAAAACCTGGAGTGACAAAACTGCAAACCTATGCATCTTTTTTCTCCAACTCAGATTTGTCTCCTGCTAATGTTTCAAATGTCAAACAATTTTTTATTTTTTCATATCTTTTCTTTCATGTAACGTACCCTGTACCTGTGTGACAGATAACATTTGCAAACTCATTCTCATTACAAATCTGTCTGTACTGTATCTTTTCTGACTGTTGCTCAACACTGTTTGTTCTGCTCTTATCTAGATTCCCCTTCATTGCGCAGCAGTGAACCCATTTCCCCACAGGGATCATTAAAGGCTTATTTTATATCTGACAGCACAGTGCTGTCAACAGGTTCATGACATCCATTTTATGTGAAAACCCTGCATATTCAGGTCCACTGTTAATAGTTATGGTATCATTAGGACTGGTGCCATTGCAAAAAAGGGCAGCAGGTGTCACTCATGCTTTCAGATCTCTTCTTTCTCTCAACTACCTCTTACTGAACTTTCACATATACCTTCCCATTCTTCCTTAACAAATTTAATTTACTAGAGCAGTATATTTATGTTGCCATAGTTAAAGGCGCAGTACCTCTGAGCAAACCATACTGTCAGGGTTAAGGTCTCAGTTTGCACTGGCTCACCTCTGATAACCTAACCTAACCTCTGTTTTTATGCAAACAAAACTGAAATGTGAAACAGTATTACAACCAAGACTTGTAGCAGTCTGATTTCATGTACTGCACGCCTGAAGGAGGTGAAGCTGGTTGGTACCGTAGTTTTGTCCTGAAATGTTGCACTTCTTGAACTCCATGATGTTCTGTGTCAGAGTTCCCGTCTTGTCGGAGAAGATGTATTCAATCTGACCGAGCTGTTCATTCAGGGTTGTTGTTCGAGCCTGCACAGGGGGAAACAATGACAGCTTGCTTCAAAATAATGTACAGGTGGTACAAATCCTACAGTACGAATTACTGCAATAGGAAGAAAAATATCAAAACCAAGGTCCACTTAGTATATTTTTCAAAAATCTCAACTGTGCCTCATTGTCTTTATGGGTAAATAGGGTTTGCTCACTTGTTATAAAAGTCTGGTCATGTGATAACAAGCAGCTTAGCTTTGCATCATTAAACAAACTGACTGATTATACAATATGACATCTTAAAATGTACATTGTATTTTTATTATTAATGTAAGCTATGTGCACTAAAAATACATAAATATAAAACTTTTACTACAGTGACTTTCAGCAGTGTCTTGCCCGAGTGCACTGGAAGCAAATACAGTACTCCCCAAATGTTCTCCATTTTTAAAACCGTATAAAGCCTCTTTATTGTGAAGAATCACTGACAAACCGCAAAATATCTGTATATATGTTATTACTGTGTAGAATATGTCACTATATGTATATTTAAATTAACACTATAAAAAAGTATATATTGCACAATATCCTGCAGGGGAGCCACAGCTACTGTTGCCACATCCGTTTGGTTCACGGATATTATTTTATTTGCTCTTATAAAATGAAGCACACACACACAGATCATATAGTGTCACTGACAGTAATAATATACCTTAGCTGGAGTGTCTTTCTCTGAAAAATACATCTGCAGGTCCCAGTTGATAAACTTGCTCTGGCCCAGACGAATCACCTCCACACTGAACACAGAAGACAAACAGGAGAAGACACAGACAAATTTTAATTTAACAGCTATTTATTGGAACAGAGCTGCTCTTTGACGACATCATGTGAAAACGCTTCCTTGTAACATTAGACTGAAGCTGAGAGAAAAGGTGACTATGAAGCTGCCAACTTTTTAACTTTGTTAACATGGTAAGCTACTTAGTAAGTCCGCTGACAGCCGCGGTGGCTTGCAGTGCAGTTAGCCATGTTGAAGGCCAAATGAAGGGCGAGTCATTTTTATGCCACTTTCCTCAAAATGTGGCCTCAAACCCAACAGCTCATGTTTCTCTGTGTTTGAGTTGCTGTAGCTTAAACTAACTGTAACTGTAACTGCTTTAACTGAAGATTTAAAGCTGAAATACACAAAAGCCTTACAGACGCCACATTTACCAGACTTCCAAAAGATAGCAAGAATGAATTCTCTAAGCCTAACTGATGTGTTTCCCCTAGACTTTAACAGCTCTCAAAAAACTGTAGATATTTTGGCCTAATGTAGTTTGAATGTGGGTATCACTCTTTACATTTTAAATGAAAAAACTGTAGATATTTTGGCCTAATGTATTTTGAATGTGGGTATCAAGAAACATGAGCCATAAAACAAGAAGAGGAGGACTAAGATGATGTCATCAACATCATCAAGGTTTTACACATTCATGCATATGAATTAAAAACAAATGGAAAAACATTTTCACATTTTACATTTGTCTTTGTGTGGTCAAACTAATTCTGTAGGGTCACATTAAAACCACCTACTTTTTCCCAGTAGTTAGAATTATCTGAACAAAACCCAAGTAAGTGTGTATGGTTTCACTCACCTGACATATAGGGAAATGGGCACCATGGTGTTGAGGACGATGATGTATCCCCAGAAGCTGAGAAAGCCTCTGTAGGAGGCGGTCTGGGTTTTGCCATCATTCAGATACCAGGCTTTTATGCCAATGTACTGGTACCAGTAGGTGTGACCGATGGCCAGACCTGCTGCAACCAGGATTAGCAGCACAAAGATCTACAGAGGAAGGGGACAGAAATACAGTCATACTCGAGGTGACTATTAAAAATACTCAGTAAGTTTTTTTTTTTTACTCTATTTATGTAACCATTTATCACAAACATGCATTTATAATAATCTGCCCCTAGAGAGGAGATCATAAAAAAATCTCTTCAAACAGACAAGAGAAACAAGCTTCATAGCACAAAACTGAAAACTGACAGTGATGTATGTCCAGTCTGTCTGGACCTAAACCTACTGTGTAAACCGCATAGTTCATCAGCTCATCAATTTTGGTTCGCTTGAACCGTGTCTTCCCACTGTTCTTCATGATTTTAGTGTCGGCACCTTCGACAACGGATACAAGAATAACACAGATACCAGTTTTAATATGGACAGACACACACAGGTTACAAGTTTTACATTAAATAAAGCAATTACATGAGAATTTGCGGCTATTTGAGCATAGTCTTAAACTCTTCAAGTGGAATGACAGATTGCAGCTTCTGTGTTTTCTGAAGCTTATTCCATTTGGAGTGATCTTACTACCAGAAACCAGCAGCAAATTCTCACAACGCAGAAGCCACAACCAGAAAATGTTTGTCATATTTAATTTTAAAAAAACGTATCAAAATTGTTGCTAATCAATTTGGGGTTATTTCAGCAAAAACATGGATTTTTCTTGCATTAAATCATCTGGTCAATGTGTAAATAAAGAAATCAAACTAATTGCACAAGCTATTTTATCTGAAGACTGACTATTTCCACCTCTTCTGTATGCTCTGTAATACGCTTCTCTTCACCCTGAAATGTGGTGACTGGTTTTCAAAGCAGCAGTGCTGCAGCGTTCACACCTGCAAAGATGACCAGGCCGTGGCACACGTCAGTGTTTCTGATCGTGCAGCCTCGAAGCAGCATGTTGTCCAGGTCCAGGGGGTAGCGCTGCCTCTGCCACAGCATTGTCCCCATGAACTTGTCCAGACGGTTGTTCGGCTCCTCACAATCGATCAGAGCTATGAGAGCAATGGGAAGATATAAGGAGGGCTTTAGTCTGAGTTAAAGAGTCAGTAGTATGACGGTCTGTCAGTAGTTGGCAAGATATTTTACTCAGGGCCAAAGTGTTGAACAGACACACCAATGTTGTCTCCAACCACCCTCTGCTACAGCACCTGAAATTCTCTTCATCTGCGGGTATGCGCCTGAACAATTAAGTCATGTTTTCTGATTAATTAAAATATCTTGTATCACAAATACATTTCGATTATAAAAGTTAACTAGATCTTGCCTCTAAACAAACAAATATAAAGCAATGAAGAGGTTACAAAACACACCAATGTTCTTAAGAATCTCTTGCACAGTGTAATGCAAACAGTCTTATCTGTGATTACTACAATTATCTGGATGAGAGTGAGATTATTTTTATTCATTGGCATTCAAGCACAAAAGAACTGACTTGTACGATTATTTTTTATTTTTTTTATGTTGCTGTAGATTGGGGGGGGGTCCCTCTCAATACACCAAGCATTGTCACAGTTTATTGTTTTCCATTAACAGCTGGGCCTCGCTCTGACAGATTAAAGGCAATTTAAGATAATGGAAATAAACTTGACTTATGGTTGTAAGCATCTGTATATAGTATTTACCATCAAAATCAGCCAGCTGATGTTCTTCCTGCAGTTTCTCATCAGTCACTTTAAGTCCCATCTTAAACTTTAGGTTGGTTTCTCTGCAACGTAAAGAAAAAAATAAAACACAAAGGATTGAATACCAAATGCTGAGGAAAGCAGAATCACAGTTAACCAGAGCTGGATTCAACTTTATAAGACTTGGATGAAGAACGAAGGATTAAAACTAAGTACCATTTCTCGGAAAGTTGTTCAGGACAGTATGATCATAAGAGGCATCCTGCATAACAAATTAGTTCATAATTCGCCCTTTGATATAGATTGCATCTCAAAGCTCTGATAAAACAAATGTGTTTCAGTGAACTTGTTTCAGTTTACTTGACATTTACTGTAAAGTGGTTCGATTAGAGACACCTGTACAGCCCTGTTTGATTTAAAGGTGTTTCTCACATAATCACACAATGTACACACATAGACACACACACACACACACAGGTCACACAGATGAGTGTTGCAGTTGTTTAACTGGCAAAAGCTCTTTACACATTTACCCTCCTCTTATCAGTCAACAATGTGTTGACAAAATGCTTGAGAAAAGGAGGGATCAAACAAAAGCTTCCTGGAGCAAGGAACGCTGCTCTATGAAAAAAGTAACCCATTACTTACTCTGACAGCCATAAATACAAATATTACAGTTCAGAATTATTATAAAAAAAAGGAGATCAAGGGTATTTTTTTTGGACATTTGAAACAACGGAAAGTAAATTTAAAAGGTGAAGACACGTACCCATCAAGCTCAGCTGTTTCTACATAACACAGGCTGTTTGGGTTGGAGCTCGATAGCAGCAAGATGTCAGCCTGAAGACAATGAAAACAACATGTATCTGTATAGTCACATTTATCAAACAATCTGGTGTGTGTGACACCACATTTGATTTTAAACAAGTCTATCCATACATGCTTGATCATTCCTTCGTCACAAAACCTTCTACACATAACACAGCAAATTTTTTTTATACCTTTTAAGCTTTTCACCTCACTTCATAAGTTTATATGTCACAAACATTACAAATGCACTCCTGCAATCAAATGCAACTCTACAATGTTTTGTCATACCTTCTTCAGCAGAGGTATATGCACAATTTACTTATGAGATAACTTGTCAGTGTACTTAAGTGAATATTATTAGTAAACCATGCTGTTTTAATAGATATACATTATTGATCATGAAACATCAACAGATCTAAACTTGTTATGTTAGCCATGCTATTGCTAACTAGCTAAACTATGGGGATACCACTTGAGGATGAACAATCTAACAGTTGATGAATTTAACATTAAATGAACTGTAACTAAATAAGATCATGTTAAGAAGCAGGGGCTTCTGCTTCTTCTGCTTGAAATGACCTGCGATACATACACAACCTGTGTGAATCATGTCCAAGTACTGCAATCCAGCAAAAACTACTGTATACCATAGGCTGAACTATCATACCGGAATGAAGTCATTTTTCTTGAGACGAACCACATCTCCGACCTGGATATCCATCCACTTTGATACCTGAAACCTGAAGCAGAAAGGACAAATAGGTTTTTATGTCAAACCAGAATTTTTCAAATGGAGGAGCCACATTTTAAAGATGGTTATTCTCTTGCTTTATACATCAAACCAAAGATGGACCTTGTTCTCACCTGCCATTCAACAGAACCTCACACTTCCTGTTGTTGATTTCCTTGTCCATCTTGTGCCGTGCCTAGAAATTTAAAATAAAAAGTCCAGGGAAACCAGATAATGTAATGTACAATCATACATACTGTAGCTTGAATAGCATTCAATGACCTTTAGGAATTTTTGTAAGAAATGTTTTTAAACTATTGTTATAGGTGTAGAGCGGCCGGAACGACACTCCACCACTTTTTCCCTCCACGAAAGGAAAAAGAATAATCTGGTTGAAGTTCATAACAGTGCATTATTATTGTGAGCGCTTGAAGATCCAATCATCAGTAAATTGTATGTCCTGCAAAATGGAATGCTCCGAGTTGTGATATTTAAATTTAAGGTGTGGCGAATGATTCACAACGTCGACTCAAATAATGCACGCTCCAATGCACAATTGGCACCCGCAGGTGTTTGAGTGTTTTGTCCAATCACATAATGTGGATGGTTCACAGCGACACAGTTTAGTGTAGAACACAGACCCTCTTTACAGAAGACAAGTGACAGAACGAAAAACAGAATGACTGATAAACTAGAGCGTGATCTCCAGGAGGGGCCCTGGAGACAAACATCAGATGTGACAATCAGCAGCAGAAACGGACTTTATACCTTACGTGATGCTGGGATTTAAACTGACTCCAGCACTGATCAAGTTTCAGAAGGTACACCCGTGTTCAACAGCTAAATTAAAATGAACTGAAAAAATGTACTTGCATAAACTTAACTCGTGAAAATTTAAATACACACGAAGTTCATCCCTAACCTCACAACACACGAAACCTGTAGCAGTGCAAGCAGAGTGTATGTGCGGCTTTGCAAAGGAGAAGTCTTACCAGATCATCCGCCAGGTCTTTGATGGCAGTGATTCCCAGCACAACGACCAGAGGAACCAGTGTGGTGTACCAGGGCAGAGTGGAAATGTCTGGAATAATCTGACAGAAAAATAAAATGCATGCATAAAGCTTTGTTTGATTTACTTTAATGCTTTACATGGCAAGATTCGTTTTTTGTATCGGGGTGTCTTTTATCCATTTTGCAGTAATGACCAGGAGCAAAATTCTCCCCCCCCAACTTTAAAATTCCACTACCAATTCAGATTTCAACAAATTTGGTTAGACAATAATATTAAAGTTGTGGTTAAATTCTCTAATAGGAAGTGCTGTATTGTTAAATAACTCTATAGTGACACAAAGTGAATGGCCTGGTTTTCTGCATTAATTGCTCATAATGATATTCATTTAAACCACTATAAACAAACAAAATGTGTCCTTAACAACACAAACCATTATGTTTTGTCTTTTCGGAACACATGCATTAGGGTTTTTCTCAATAGATTTGACTCATTTCTTTAAATCATTTATTCTCAAAGCTTAATGTGCATTTGTCATGAGTCAATACACTGATCACAACACTATGGTTCATCAAAAGAAGGACCGAAAACCTTTAGCTCTTGTTTCAAAAGTAAATCCTTATGTCAATGAATAAGTCAACGCTGTCAGCATGAAATGTTCCATTAGCATTGTGCAAGTCAAGCTTCTCCAAATGTTTGTGAAGTCAGTAGCACAATGGAGCACTGACATTTGCAGTAATGTGTGGACACAGTTAGATTCTCCTGTAATCCATAAATTCAACACAGTACAGCTGAGTAATACTGTAAAGCAGAGGGAAAACAGAACACTGGCACAGCATTGCATGTTACAGTAAATGTATAGTAATTCTTAAAAACAATGGACACTGTATAGAAACACTAATAACAGGATACTAAATTACAATGTTACATCAAAAAACTGAGTCACAGAGCATCATGTGGATCCTGTGTGTTTGGACTCAGGTTTTTAGCCTCCTCACCCCCGCTATTCTATCATTTGCCATGGGGGCTGATGTTTTTTTGTAGGCCAACCCAGAGGTTAGTGTCACCCTGGTTCCCTCCACAAAAAGCAAATGGGATTTTTTTTACATAAGATTTTGGATTATTAAGCTAAGTACATGATGACCAATTTCTCATATTTTCACAACTGCATGAACTAATGTGCATGTGATGATGTGAACAGTGAAATAATTCTTAAATGTTTTGGAATGCAAGACTGTTTAACAGAGAACTAATCTATTTTGAGCCAAAGCACATGTACAGTTGATAAATGTTCATGCTGTCGACTACTGTACCTAATCATTTGCCATTTGTAGAAAAAGAATGAGAAATGCTCTTATGTTGACTAGAAGAGGGAGTCACCATCCTGTTTTATCACCCAACAAGCTAATTGGGCACAGAGGCAGCAAAAAGCCCCAAATCATGACGCTCCCTCTGCCATACTTCATGGTGTCCTGCCATGGAAACAATGCTGCAGATTTGCACCATGATTTGCGTTTGGGAGGCTCATGAACAGAGATGCTAACCAGCTCCAATGACTCCTTTAAACCTTTAGCTGCTGTTACTCCAAGCTTCTTTTTTGTGCTGTGCTTTTGGATTCATCTTATGTGGGTACTCGCCTATAGAAGAAGAGGGAGTCACCATCCTGTTTTATCACCCAACAAGCTAATTGGGCACAGAGGCAGCAAAAAGCCCCAAATCATGACGCTCCCTCTGCCATACTTCATGGTGTCCTGCCATGGAAACAATGCTGCAGATTTGCACCATGATTTGCGTTTGGGAGGCTCATGAACAGAGATGCTAACCAGCTCCAATGACTCCTTTAAACCTTTAGCTGCTGTTACTCCAAGCTTCTTTTTTGTGCTGTGCTTTTGGATTCATCTTATGTGGGTACTCGCCTATAGAAAGATTAGCCACAGAGCTAAATCATTTCCATTTATAAACCATTTGCCTCACTGTGGACTTATCAATGTCACGGAGATTTGAGTATTTGTAAGCCTTTGTCCATATCAGCAACTTTTGTGAGACACTGTTCACATGAGCAGGTGCTTCTTTCAAGACTGTAAACAACAAAACAGGTCATTAATATTTTTTAGACCTACCTGTAAGATGAGCAGAGCAAGGAAGTACAAGTTGGCAGCCCTCTTAAACTGCTCATACAGGTTCAGCGGGATGAAGGTGAGGACATTGTACTTGTATGTTTTGATGGCGTTCCCCTGCAAAGGAAAAACCAACACCCGACCATGATGAGCACAAGGACTGTACTTTTTTTTTTTTTAGGCCAGTGTTGTTAAACTGCAGAAAATATGCATCTTAAAAACAATAATATCAAAATATTTGAGGTTCTGGAAGAGTGATGTTGTCAGTGATGGCAGCAGTGCTATTTAAGCACAAGCATTGGAGATTATGAATTTATAACAGTACATCTAAGTTTACACCAAGGATGTGGGGTTTGAAAGACACCGGTGCTCTCTAAGAAGAGAGCGTCTAATGAAATGGGGGAATCTCGCATTTTTGACGCATGCTAAACAGGCAAATACTGAATCGCCTGTTGCTCTGATTATCACTATTCTTCTAGTCTCTTGTGAATCTTCCAACTTTATGGCAACACGATACTAAATCAAACATTTTATTATGTTATTGGGGTTTTAACCAGTTTAATTTTCTAAAACTTAAAAAGATTTTTGCACTAAAAGTTTAATCTAAAACCTATGCCTAAAAGGTACTTAAGGGTAACAGTGAAATATTTCTATTTAAATGGTTGGAAAAAAAATAAAAAGCAAATTTCTACATATTACAAAAGTTTAAATAATTCTACAAATAATCGTATACTCCAGGAGACAAATATGTCTGAAAGGCAGCGGTTTCTCTATTCCACAGCTTTCAGGATGCCAGATAATCTGAATTCCATCCACCACGGCCTGTCTCCTCTGAGTGGAGAGTCCTGCCCTGCCACAGTGACTAGTCAGAGTTCCAGTTGATCCCAAAAGATGCTGATGCAGTGGGTGTCATGGTTTTGTGCTGGCTAGTCAAGTTCTTCCACACTAAACTGGAAAAATAATTTCTTTATGGAACATTTTCCCTCAGGGACACATGTTTTAACAGGAAAAGGTCAAACACAAACTGATTGGAAGCACACTATCATTGTATGCTGCAGCATTTCACTTCACTGGAAGGGGGTGTGTTGGAGTTAGGGTAAGCTTAGGCTTTATTGAAATGCGTCTACAACCAAAGGACTATGGAGAATAACTAGCTTCCAACTTAACATTCAGTGTCCTGCTTAACTGTACAGGCAGAGGCCCAGTGTGTGGAGACATCAGTAAATGACACAGAGCTGCATTTAGCTGCAGATACTGTAACCATATTATTGTTAGAGTCTCAGTTCTACCTTCTCTCCACTGTCTTACTGTTAATCTATGGCTCTACAATTAAGTATCCAACAATAGTGCTGAAGTTGTGAGGAACTTGCTCTGCTTCAGGACCACGTCCTCCCATTGTGTCTAATGTGTCTGTTAGTGAGAGTCACGTCGGAACAGCTGGATGATTGGATTTCAGCCTCCATAAAGATGGCACAAAGCTCCACACACAAAAAACAGTCACAACAGCTTGTTTCAGTATCCGACCAGTCAGCTGGAGGCTTTAACCTAGAAGTACTTCAAATGATTGTTTTTCTTCATGTAGGTCAGAATAACTTGACAAAAGTGCCAAGTGGTATACCAAAAACCAAGGACAACTAATTTTGCTCATGTGAGTATGAAAGCTTCCACTAAATCAAGTACAACACCCAGATGTCATTCATTCACACATTTCATCCTCATCTTACCCTCTATATCTTCATTCAAAACAAAGCAGCCTACTGTCCAAGCATAAAAAACTCTTAGCAATTTAAAAATCCGGCCTTCCAATAGGCTCCACGAGCCCTGATGGAGTCAGAAATGACTCAGCAGAAACAGAGAGGTGTCAGCAGTAGGAAGTATCAAATCAACACAGTACATTTTCTTATTGTTGCCGTTGTACATCAAATGTTCCACCCTACTTTCTTGAGAAAGGATATGCAAATAGTATACTCTGACCTAGTTAAAACCTCTCAAAGACTGTATGAGGTCAGTTAATGTTTATGGCTGTCTGGCTTACATTATGTTTAGTCAAAATAAATTACTTGCCAACAGCCAAACAACTGACACTTCCTGTACTGCTAAGCAGCCAGTTATACCATTTATATAATCTAATGTGAGACTGTAAATTTTGAATAAAGAAATAACAGAGTTGTCCTCTTATTAATGAAAAGTTACACATATGAGCAATATAAATATATACTGTATGCTTGTGTCAATACAGCTACTTGCGTTGTTATAAGTATTAGCTTATGATGTTTGCGATAGGTAATGTTCAGTTTAGCAAATTAAGAAAACTCAACTGAGGACCATGAGATGTTAATAAAAATTTCAGAAAAAGCAAGTAAGCGGGTCCCAGCGTACAATTTCTTTTGTAAAAGTACCATTTTCAAGGTCAAGAATGAAGAACACTTTAAAAACAACATTACCTGCTTCCATCATCATGATATACATTAGTAACCAACAGCGGCAAGTTACTTGTGGTGTTAAGTTTTTCTTGGTTAAAATCAAGGCCTTTTTGCCAGTTCTTTGGCTTAGGCCTGTATCAAGTTTAGGAAAATCTTTTCTCCACCAATTGTATGAATGTCATTTGTGGCATATACCCACTGGAAAGAAGGATAGTAGTTTAGCCTGGCGAGCAAAGTGTCTCAGGTAGGGTTTGAGGTTCAAATTTTGTATTAGCAGTTGAGTCAGATTGTAAAAGATGTGGGTACAGGTCAGGTTTGGGGATCATAAGCCTGTGCTGAACTCCCAATGTTTGCTTAAGCTCATTAACAACAAAACCTACTGCTAGTCATTTTCCAAACCATCCATTAGAGCTAGGTGGATTTCCCTTCCCTTCAGGCCCAGCCATTGTTTTTAGTTCACTTCTATGAAAATCTTAAAGTCTGCAGATAGCTGACTTTGCACAGATTTCTTTTTTGATCAAATTTGCATCATCATCATGTGATAAAGCAGTGAAAAGTAAGAGCTGTTTTCCCACACTCTTCTTTGTTGGCGTATTCAAACTGCTTGTTAGAAATTCTGACATCCAATAGCTGAAAGTCAAACAAAAACTTGTTTATTTTACAGGCTTGAATTTTAAGGATGACTTATTAATGCGGTGCTCTTCTCCAGACTTAAGGGCTTCCTTAATTGTCATTGCATTACCTACAGTGATAGAGTAACTTGGACAAACTAGCAAGTTTCAGTGACAACTGTTGGATATTAAAAAAAAAAAAGTACCAAGTTTAAATGAAGAATAGTTCATGAGCTAAACCATGTAAACACAAACTTGCCCTGCTCTTTATCCAGGGTGTGTCTGCTACACTCAACTCTGTATGTTCAGGGGTTAATTTCTACCTGGACTGACGAGGACAGAGGATAAAGAGGCCTCCAGACAAGTCTATAAAGTAGCAGTTTTATTTAGACAGTTGAACTTACAGAGTATCTGCTCTTTTTGATGCACAGGAAGACTTTTTTCTGAAACTCTGGCAAGTGGTGGTAAGGTCGGTCATTGGCTTTCACCTTCCAATTGGCCTCTGGAAAAAAAAAAGTGGCTTCCTTAACATAAACTTTTTACGAGTTCTGTTATATTGATCTTGTAAATCAGACTTCTTTTGGAGCAGCTGGAATGTATATTTTGTCTGTTCTGATGGTGCTAAGCAGTTTTCCACTTTCTTCCTGTCACTGCACTAAGCTCAATTAAATGCATCCACCTCTGTACTAGGCAGAGAAATAAAATGGATATCCATTCTTTTATCATCCAACTCCAAGTACGCTGGGTCTAACCTCTACCGGAGGGGGCGCTTCTGGCTCTTCTTCGTCTGGTTCCCCTTCAGAGCTTGGTGGTTCCAGTTCATCGTCTGTCTCATCATCACTGTATGGCATGACATCATCATCAGGCCCCAGGGACCCCTGGGAGTCTGCACGCTGCCGACTCATCCTAACACCTGAGCTATGTCTGAGAAAGACAAAGAGTTGGTCAATAAATGTAATTAAAGAACTTTTGGACTGGCCATGACTGACAATAGTTATTCCGAGTGATATTTCTCAACAATTATTGGATGGGTTACCTTGAAGTTTGGTACACACATTTTGGTTTGGTTTCTTTCAGAACATGTTTATGCTTTGCATGACTTGTAATAACTCTAGTGATCCCCGTTCAGGTCAAAATTTTTATTTAACCAGTATTTTGGTTCATGACCACTTGCAAAACTTATGAACAAATGTTTATATGCTGAGATGCTAAACTAAGATGGTGAATATGCTAAACATTTAACTGCATGGTATTAGCATGTTAGCACTGTCACTGTGGGCAAGTTGGCATTAGATCAAAGCAAAGAGTAAACCCAAAGTCTTGTTTCAATTTCTGTCTCTTTTTTATGTGCAACACCATGACTTGCTTCAACACAAAAAAGACACAAAATACCCCAGGGAAGAGAATGGGAAGGCAGTGCGTTGTTGCCACAAGGTGACTGCAACAGCAGAATTTCTGGCCTGCCGTCTAGTGTAGCTGTTTGGAAAATGTAGCAACTTGCTTGGCCATTCAGAAGTCAACAGTATCGCCATTTTTATAGTGGAAGGTCAAATCAACAAACTAACACAATAATGGGAAAGCATCAACAAAAATATGGCTAAAAATGGAAAGAGCAAATGTACAATTTGATCAATTACTGGACACAGGTTAATGAATCCTGTGTCCTCAGATACTGACAGGAGACAGAAATAACCAAGTTGAAGAGATGATCAACGAATAATAGTAACAAGTCTGGCACATTTACAGATGTCACGTCATGACTATGCACTTAAAACACACACAGACACACACAAAAATAAATAAATGTTATGGCAAGCAAGAGTACAGACAAAAAAACAAGAATGCAGTCAAACAGGGAGGAGGGAAGCTCAACCCTAACAGCTGAATCATTTACAGTCAAAGCTGAACTGGCTGCAGCTAATGGACAAGTTGCTCCCAGCACTGCTTCAATAGTTTAAATGTCTTATGAAATTTAACATTGAGGAAATCCACTGAACAGCCACCTTGATCTAATGTGTAGAGCTACTAACACTCAGTGAACAGATGCAGAAATAGAAGCTGCAGTCCAATCTGACTGGCAGGTTTCTGCTAAACCTCCTGATGTAACATGGTGGGTGTGTGATGATGCAATGCATGTTTGTGCATTAAGAGTAATACAGTGAATGAATCTGCATACACATGACTGAGGAATTTGATCACACCCTCCTGATAATAAGCTTTGTTTCACCATGATCTTAGTCTTACCATGCAAACCACTGATCTGGTGTCAGAAAGGATTTGATTCTGGGATGGTATGACTGGAAGAGCAGGATGAACCACTAATAGCAGATTCCTAAGATTTTTTTTGTGTGAACAAGTCATCATTCATAGCACAGTTTGTCATGAGCACAGATTGACCTTTTAAGCTGTTATTTTTAGTAATACATCAGCACTATTTCCACTTGTTTGAATAATCTGCTTAAAACTACAGCTGTTTTAGGAATTGAGGCTTTTTATAAATATACTGTATGAAACAACAGACACAGTTTATTAGTTACATTTAAACTTAAACAAATAAATCCTTTCTTCATGAAGGTGATAATGTTCACATTTTGTTGAAACTCTTTTAGAGAGGTGTTGATTCAATTATATGATAATTTTGGAGGCTATAGATTGTGCTGCTCAAACCAGCACAACCAGTCTGGAAAGCTTTAAAGATAAACACCTCGGTTCATTTTGCGTCTCTCTGCATTTGTCAGACACACCCATGTTTCCTCCTCAAAGTATAGCGTGTCTTTGCGTGCATCTGCGCCCTCGATAGCAACTTTACATTTCTACCAGGATGCGTGTCATGCAAATGTCCACACACTTTGTCTTCCGTCATGTCACAATTATTGCCTGGATTTCTATGAACTTTGCAAACACATATCCCTCTAAGGATTAATTACAATCACTCTGGGGGGGGGTCCTCTGGCCTTTAAGTAAAAATGTTTAATCAGCAAAACATCTGCAGGATGTTTGATGTAATCATCCTTGCTGTGATACGATAACACGTTTGTTTGACAACACTGCTGGAACTTGCAAAAAGTACCACCTTCTGAGCTGAGCCATAATTTAGTTCATAGAACCTGCCCCTAAAATAGGTGCTGAAGAGTGGGAATAAAAGCAGAACATGTGACAACAGACATGTTATATCATGTTTAACTTCCTGCAGTGAGTGTAAGTAAGGCAAAAACCAGTATAATACAGCATTAAAACTACACTATGTCGTTACAAAACTCTTTCACAAAACAAGTTTTAATTTTGCCTTAACACAAATATAACAGCAACATTTTCTACAACATTGTCTAAAATTACCAGATATTTGGTCAAATCACGAAAAATATGAAGACAATTTTCTACAACATTGTCTAAAATTACCAAATATTTGGTCAAATCAGGAAAAATATGAAGACAAACACAGAAAAGACTACCAATCTGACCGAGAATTCAATGCCAACTTGTCAGTCACACTTTCAGGAAACTTTAAGAGTTGACAAACCTTTCATGCAGGCCATTACAGTCAGTACCCTCCCCCACCACAAAAATAAGTGTCAGTGGGGTGAGGAAAGGAGGGAAAGAATGAGGAAATAGACTGGAGAGTAAATAGGATGCCAATTTGACCCTTTGCACACATTTAAAAAAAGTATTACAATATTTATAAATGTAACCATCCTATCAATTGGCCTTTGACATTCATACAGTATCTTGATGACTTTCAGAATGAATAAACAGTTTTTATAGGACACACAAAAAGACACAAGAAATATTAACACCTGCACATACAAAGAACCTGTCCAAACAGGAGGTTAAAGCCAGTTTTCAGCATTAAACATGGACTTAACCAAACACTTCAACATCAGGCGTCTTCATCTGGAGAAGTTTTTTTATTTTTAGCCAATCTGGCGTCATCATCCAGACAAACAATGTGCCACACCAAAGGAATACACAAGCTGTGCGTCACGTATGCATTTACCCATTCAGTCTTAAGACACCTGTCATCACAGAAGGCATGCACAGCATTAAACATAGCGATTTCCTTGACTGCGAAACTGTCCTTAAATGCACTAAACTGGCTTCCTATCTAGAGTGTACAAGTTTGAGACATGCCTCAGTGCATGATGCAAAAAGACCTGTCTTTTTTATACCAAATATTTAATGTTACATTGTAATGCCAATGTACATTGTCTTATTCAAATGCTTGTGGTTTACTTGTCTGAAGATTGGGAGAGGTTTAAGAAAGCAAGAGATCAAAGATTTTTATTGTTAATTCACTATATGTGCAGGACATACAGAAAATCAAAATACTGTTTCTCCCCCACCTAGTATTGAATGCCATACCATTTAGGAAACTAAAATAGAATAAAAGTAGAGTAAAAATAGAATAAAAAGAATAAGAAAACTAAATCAAAGTGATTAGGATAAAACTAAAAGTACAACCTAATAGGCTATGACTCAAACCATGTACAATCAGTGACAGTAGTGCAAAGAGTAACAACAAGATTGTCAGATGGTTAAAAGCACCTATTTGAGGTGGGGAGAGTAATTTTTTCAATGAGCTATTTATTACTTTTTTCATCCAACATTCCCTGACACAGTCTACTGGGTTAGAAGGTGTTTGATGATGCACGCCTAAAACTGCTTGATATTACAAGCTTTCCACCTGCAGCCCACTGGCTTTTTGTATTCTTACACTTAGGGTCCTGTTTTTCGTACAACAGCTGCAATAATTGATCAAAAGAAAGTCGATCATTTAGGTCAATTTACAGGACAAAAAAATGACATTGATGGTTCCAAGTTTGGATTGTTCTTTAGACAAAAGACATTTAATTATATTACCTTGTGCTCTGCTATATTGTGATGGGCATTTTACACAGTATCCTGATATTTTATAGATCAAACGATCAAAGTGATTAGAAAAACTAACTGGCAGATCAACTGATAGTTAAAAGAATCATTAGTTGCAGCCCTTTAAGTATTAAATGTCATTTTTTTCTGGGCCATGTTCTAACAGCAACAAATTACAAGGTAACCCAGTTGTAGTCATTTTTTTTAGTCCATAATAGGGAAGACTTGGCAACTCTAATGCTGGCAGGCTATCAAGATTTCAGTTTGCCAGAGTTATTCAGACAACTGACATGTGAAATACAAGATGAGAAGACTAACAAGGAAGCTAAGAAAAGCAAGAGGATATATAGTATAAGATATGTAAGAGTGATGAACTAAGTGCATACTGTTTAAAGGCAAGTATTGGAGTAAAAGTAGTTAGTTTGAAAACAAACTAGTGAACCACTACCTTAGACATCAGCCAAGACTCAGAACAGCCTCATTAAAAACAACAAATTCATCTGGTTTTCCTGAAAGAGAGAGAGAGAGAGCGCACACTCACTGGCCCCACCCACCTCAAAAGGGAAACTGATCAACCAAAGACTAAGCTGTGAGATCACCTGTCTTGGAGAACAGGTTTTTGTCTATGGCCCGAGGCATCGCCAAGGCAACTACAAAGAGGAGGGAGGGATTCATGAAGTGAGACAGAGGAGAACCTACATGAGCGACAACAGTGAAACCTGAGAGGAAGGAGGAGGTTCAAACAGCTGCAGAGAGAAGTTAGTTTAAGAAAAACTGAAACACTGGAAACACTATGGATCTTCTTTCTGGTACTGACTACTACAATTCTCTCAAGTCTATTGTTGAAATTAGTATTTTAATCATACTTTATTATTTAATTATCAGCAACCAACACAGTAACAGTGGAGAACATGGAATGTATGCTGTTCTTGATTCTTGGTGTGTGGCTGTTTTTAGTTAATACAGTACAGTAAAGAAGTGGTTAGCTAAAATAATGTTGCTTATAAAAATGGTGTTTTCTTTGTTCCAGTATGTCTCACACATTAGTGACACAATTT